TTTTTGTTTCCCTAATTTAAAGGTTACAATTTACCTGTACTGCTATTATTACGTTTTTGATTTTGTTCGATTTCTAAATTAAGAGTTTAGGAAGAGGATTGTTTTTATTATTATTATAATTAGAATAGTGTAATTCTACTTTACATTTTAAGATAAAGTTATTTAAATCAGCGTCTGACCGTATTAACCGTTTACAATCATTATTTTTTGGTGCAAATGACATTAATATACTATTATGAATTACGACTAAAGAGATTCGTTAAATGATTTAGAACTTAACTTTCAGCACAAAGTGATGAAAGCAAAAATTGCATTTGAAAAACACGCGCTTCTTTGGTAAACAAAAATATTAAATTACAGTTGTGAGCAAATGAAATTTATTATAACAATGTACTTTTAATTTTACTTTTAATTTACAATTATTTCTATTTTACCTATAATGTATAATTATTTTAATTTTACTGTTAATATGAATATATAATTAATTATACAATTAATATACTTTTATTTCAAAAAATGATTATTTTGAAAATGATTTATGTTCATTTATAGATCTAAATAGTATCACAAAGGAAATATTTGGACATGGAAAGTTCAGGCACAAGTGTTCTTTTTAACACATACATCTTTAGTGGAATAACTTCATCTGCTTTATGCCAAGGAACAGTAATTATTGCGAAGCACACATCGGGGTTAGTGAGTGTCAGCGAGCAGGAGACTTAGCCCCCCTAGAAATCAATAATTTAAGACGCTATGTATGGAAATCACCATTATATTAAATCATTTTTATTCCTAGAGGTTCAGTCTAAAAAAAATTATAAATAAAATTAAAATCAATAATATTATAAAAAATGAAAATCAATATTAATACTTTCTTCAGTAATAAAACTGATGGCAAAAGCAAACAAAACGACCTGATCCTTGGCAGTATAACTTTGGATGATTGGCGCCAAGGTTACAGTACTGATGTAACTGGTAGTCAATAAGAAAACAATCGCAGACTCAAAGACGAACTAGCAGAGAGGTGTAATATTGAGGAAAAGGCAGCAAACCGTTATTTACTTACAACAATCAGTTTTCCCTGAACAGAATCATATTCTTGACAAGATTCAAACAATATAAAAATCAATTTTTGTTTATTACCACTATCAGTTTTCACTGAATAGAATTTGCTTTTTAAGTAAAAAGATTGAGAGCAGAAGAGCTAACTATAAAACGTTGATCACTAAGTATTCATTCATATTGTTCAATTCCTACAATGAGTTCACATTCTCCCTATATCTAGTTCAAATTTTCAATCGTTAAAAAATTACTTTTCATTTATCCACTCGAGTCCAAATGATTCTGGAGTTAAAAGAGACACAAGCAAACAAATGCCTTAAAATTGATTTTTTTTAAAAATAATATTTACTTAATATATACTGACGCAACAAATAATATACCCTATGTGACTTATGACTAATGATGTGAGTAATGACACACACATTATGTAGAACATAGCATGTTAATACATAATAATTATTTTCTACTGTAATGTTTAATCGAAAAAAGGTTTGAGAAAAAACTTTCATAAAAAACTTTTCATTACTTTTCATATTTACAGTTATAATGCGCATGGAAAGATATTTTCGAAAAGTAAAAAGATTGCCACAAAAAAAATTTCTGCTTTCAGACCCCAAAACCATTCATTTTTAAATAATTTTTGACTTTTATATACAATGCACAAAGGAAAATACAATTGAAAAAGATGTTTTTGAATTCTTGACCTTCTTGATAATCTTTTTGATTTTCTTGACTTTTTCTAATTGTTAATTTCATTTTTTGTTTACATCTCCATTTCGCTGGAACTTTTTCAACGAATCCACTATTTTTTTGCAAATAATAAAATTCATTTATCAAAAAAAAAACTGTTTTTAATAGTTTTTTTATTTACATCTATCCAGCGAAGAAACGTTGAATTCTGAAATATAAAATTTTTTAACTTCATGTTAAACAGCGTAATTTTAAAGGACAAAATGTTAATAAAATCAATCGAATAGTGTCTGAGTTATCAAATTTTAAAAAATCGTATGTTGAAAAATTTGATAACTTTAAATATTGGATCGAGATAATTTTGTGTATTTCATAATTCAAAATTTTTTTTGACTAATATAAATTGAAATAATAAATCATAATAGATAATTATCAAAAATTACTTTTTGTACGGAAATATCCTTGGATAAATAGATCTTAGGACTGTGTGCAAAAATGTTTCAATGTTCATAGAAATCGAAGGCGCAAAAAGTAAAATTATGTTCTCTCCTTAACTTCAATTCCTCTACTGAATCCATATTTCTTAAGTAGTGGCTATATTTGGCGAAACAAATCATTCCGAAAGTATGTTTATTCAAAGAGAACACTATTTTGTATCTAATATCTGCGTATATCAGATTCTATTTTTAAAGGTCAAACCCTCAAAATAGTATCTGAGTGGCATCTTAGGGGATGAAAATCCTATTACTAGATTAAAAGTTATTCAGGTATTTTGAATTTATAGTTTGTGTATGTGCATAGCCTTTGTTCATGTGTTTAAGAAACAAATTATGCATGTGAATTATTAAACAGAAAAAAATACCTCCTATAATAGGCCATTAGCTCCTAAAGTGGATTAAAATTAATCGTTCTGTATTTTATTTGTATGCTTTTCACTTTTAGAAAACATTTTTAAAAAAATACATATAACAATATTTTTAAAATTTAGTTTTATAAATAACCTGAAATAAAGGAAATGTTGATTGTTTGCATTAATAAACATCAGTTTTTATTCAGAAAGAATATTTGTTTGGAGTGACAACCAGTGTAGTTAGAAAGAAAAAAAAAAAAAAGAAAATGCTGCTAGCATTCGAAACATTTTTAAATCATACTAATGTCCCAATCCTAAAAGAATTTTTTTCTTTCGTCTACACTCGTATATGTCGCTTTAATTGCTTCAAACAAGAATAGAACAATATTTAATTTAAATATAAAGATAGAATCAGGGAAAAGTGAATATTTGCACCTAAACGAATGAAAGATGTAAAGTAATTGGAAAAATAACTTCGAATTTTAATTCGTTAAATTGTACCAGTGGAGGTATATATATGTTACTGTGCATAACCGAAATGGGTGATTGTTGACTTCCACTGGAAAATGTCGACAATCACCTAGGTAAATGTTCGAAATATATGCTAGGTGTAATTAAGTGCCATTGCCCGGTATGCCCTATATCAATGTTTCACTGCTCGGTATACATTTGCCTGATATGCTCGACATCAATGTTTCTTTAAGGTCAAGGGCTATTGCCCAATATATGCATTTAACCAGTACTCCGAACACTTTTCCTTACCTATCCTCAGCAGTTATAAAAATATAGAAGAAATGTCAAAGAATAAATTAATATCGAATCAAATATAAGAAATATTTCGGACATTCGCCAAAGCGACGATGTGATTGTTGACTATCGACATTCTCTTGATTTCGGTCAATCACGGTAATAGCATTCCTTTTTCAATTAGCTTTATTTATGTCGAATGGAGTGCAATAACCCAAGAATAGCGGCCTTAGGAGAGGTTTATTTGCGAATTCACTTTTTTTAAATCGCATACTTTTACTCACTACTTTCTTATTAATTTTGCTGATTGTATCGAAACATTAAACTAATTAGAAAATACTGAGACTTTTACAAAGAACTAGATTTTTCGTTTTGCTCTTGCGACGCATCTTTTGCGTGATCTGTTTCAGCCAATGAAGGAGGGGTTTGCGTGGATAACAGTAAAGGCTAGCGTCCGGTCATGAAGAGAAGCTGGTGAGCTATTTTGTGTTCGTTCATTTGATCATTTTTCGTTGCTAGTCATTCGAAAGATTTCAAGACACATTTCAATAGAACATTTCAAGAGAGGATTAATAAATTCGGTAATTCTCTGTAGCAGGTAAAATTTGGAAAATCCCACCCTTCTCCCCAAATTATAAAAATTCAAATTAATTTTAGGTCATGAGCTAAATGAAATTCATTTTTATAAGACAATCTAACCAAGATTACCCAAGTCAAAATTCTTGAGGGCCCTATTAAAACATTTTGATTGTTTTTGTTGATTTGAGTGCGATTCATGATGGTTCAACATAATTTGATGGTCACCATCATCCAAGATTTTCTATTATGCATTCATGGTTTTTAATATGCCAACAAGTTTTCATAATTTCATGATGGAAAATGGTACTTTAATATTATGATGGTTAACCATCAAGAGCAATTTTAATCTCATGGACCAACAATCCGTGATGGTTCCATTTCCATGATGGTTTAATGGGAATTCTTATTGGTTCTCAGGATTAAACCACATCAAAACAATTTCGTTTTTTTATGTTTGGACCATCATAAATCAGTCCAAATTCATGCATTGGAATGATGGTTGTTTATGATTGTTCCAACGTTTGATTTCTAAGATACCATGATGGTCCTTATGGACCATCATGGAATCATATATATGTTTTGATACAACAATGCATTTTCGTGATGGTTTAATAATAATTATTGTTGGTTAAGCAAGAATATGTAATCAAGATAATTTGCTTTTGTTTTTTATGTTGGACCATCAAAAATCAGTCCGAATTCCTACATTGAGGTGATGGTTGTTCATGATCGTTCCAACATTTGATTTCTAAGAAACTATGATTGAAGATTCGGATGGTTGAACAGACTATCAAAACTAGCTGCTTTTCTCATGTTGGAGCATCATGAATCATTCTTACATGGGGGTGATGGCTATGCTGGTTACCCTCAAGAAATATAATGGTTCATGATGGAATTATTGATGGTTGCCATCAAGATTGTGGTGGTCCATCAATGGAAATCCATCAAAAATTTAGATTGTTTTTTTTTAATGTAATATTACAAGAGAAAATTATACTTTGAAGGATTCAAATAATTTAATTATTTGACAATTCTGAAATTTAAAAGAAAATTTAAAATAATAAGAACTCACTTTTAATTTCAGTCATGACAGAACGTTCTCTAAACTGCAGAGGAATGAATGAAAAGCCGTGTCGAACTCTTCGTAGAACAACTGTTCAGATAAAAGTTATGAAAGACATCTCCGGCACATAAGACGACATCTCTTCGGAGAAGAAAGAACAAAATAAAAATAAAAAGTTCTCAACTTTTCTTTCTTTATTTTCTTTCTTTTTTCCTTCCAATAATAACTCGGACTTGGCTCGCATTAAAATATACCTTCCACTCCCGAACCTGTCTACGTCTGCTCTTTCAATTGTTTTGGCTCTCTTAAAATTACCGGAATTCCTTTTATTTTATTGTTTTCGACCCCTTCTCTGAATAAATCGCGCCAGACACGGCGAGATTTGACGAGAGAGAAAAACGCGCTCTTAAAATAAAGCACATACTTCACTCATAATAAAAACAAGAAGACTACTAAGAGAGAAAGAGAGAGAGAGAGAGCGAGAGAAGATATAAAAATAAAAATAATGACGAAAGCGAAAAGAGGGGGGAGAGAGAGAAAGGGATGCAAAATTATTTTTGAACTCAGTAAAAGCGCAGCTTGTCTTTATGATGGAGATTCATCTCTCTGCTGAGAGAAAAAAAACCTGAGAGAAACGCTTTTCGATTGGATGGGAATGAAGCTTGACGCACGCGCGATTTCCTCTTGATGAAAGATTGCTGGGTGTGGATTGGTCGGTGGTATTTATATTAAACCACGCCTTGATTAAAACACGTGGTTCCCTCGGATGAAAAGCATGACAGAAGGAAACACCTATTAACTTTTTTTTTTTCCAGCGCTTAATGTGTCGCAGAGAAGTCTCCGTTGCTCCGTTTTGTAAAAACGAGTATTAAATTACGGTGAAAGCTCGATATAATGAGAGCAACATGTTCCACTATTACGACGAATTTTCAATTTACCGTTAAAATACAACAAAGACACAAAAATTGCATGTTTAGAATAAGTTTTTAAAAAAATTACTGGGTTTCCGCTATTGCGATAAAATTTTGGGGGATATTTTCGTATCATGATCTGTCTCGCCAAAAGTAGAAATAAAATTTAAATTTTGATAAAATAAATTAGTCAAATAAAAAACAAAAAGGTGAAGGTTAAAGTAGAATAATAATCCTAGACATTATTAGGGGGAGTAGCCAAATTTTTGAGCAAAAAATAAGCGCCTCTTAAGCACTTTTCAAGCACTCAAAAAATATTCTTACTCTTTATTTAAAGAAGAAAAAAAAACCTTATGAATGACCTTAAATGTTTTTAAAAAAGAAATACACTTTTCAGTGAACTACATTATACGTAAAAGAGATTTAAATTGAAGACATTAATTTCCTTATAATGCAATTTGTGGGCGACCACTGGCTAAGTTCTTCCACTAAGTTCCAAGTTAAATGCTCTCTCCATTCACTTCGAGAGAATACACCTCTTTGCTAATTCCACATACTGCGCCCTTTATTTAATTTAAAATCAACTTAAAACAACTTAAAAAATACAACTTAAAATCAACATTCACTGCCATAAACACATTTTCAGGTATTGCACATCTTTCAAAAACTTTTTACTCAAACATTTCTGCTTTTCGTAAAGTACAGAACTGTGTCAATCAACCTACAATTTGAAGGAAAACATAGTCTAATCTAGGTATGTATATTAAAGCAAAATAGTTGTCCAAAAAGAGGGATATATGCCTGTTTCTAATCAATTCTTCAACAATTCTTTTTAATCTTTGCGTGGCTATTTTGAACTTAAATATGTGTGTTTGCTTTAAACGACCGGTTCGTTATAATAAAATTTTCATTAACTATTCCTAATCGTAACTGTAACGGACTTCTGTTGTGTTTCATGGTTGGAAATGTAAGAGCGTGTTGAATTGTTTAAATTGGTTGCAACCCTAACAGAGTGATTGGATGTGAATATAATCTTGATAACTATGGTTCAACTTCATTCAATTCACCTTATTAAGATTTCAACACTTTTGAACTGTTCATCATTTTACCCTTAATGTTTTCTGATAGGTCACTGAATTTAATTCAGTGTTAGTCAGTAACTATCCCTTCAATTCATTGACCCAGAATTAAAAACGTGACTCATCTTTATGTCAAAGAATTAATACTAATTTTCTTTCTTTTTTTTATTAAAACATAATTAAGTGATAAAAATGTAACGTTTGCAACTATTGAAGACGTTGATGTGTTACCTCTCTTAAAACTGCTAACGAGAGCAGAGTCTGCAAGAATAATGATTTTCTTATTATTATTTATTAATAATTATTTTTTTACATGTACCAATCGGTACTATGATAAAATATACTAATAATGCTTAAGATTATTTAAAAACAATGTAGTTAAATTCCTTTTTATTTCTAACTTAAATTAATTATAACTGAAAATTATTTTATAATTATTGCCAACTAATTATTAAACATATAAAATCGCATTTAAGCTCAACACTCTCATGAATTTTTACAGACAGTAACTCAATTTGTCAGACACCAAATGAAGAATTAATTAGTTAAATCAGTAAATTTAAAGAACAAGTCATTTTTCGATGCTTATAAACATAAATTATATATTTAATAAGCTTTAAAAGTACTAGTATTAAAAGTACTAGTATTTATTTAGTTACATTTATTAGTACGTATGGTATAAATAATAAAGTACTAGTATTTATTTAGTTACATTTATTAATATCTTACAGACAGCAGAGAAGTTTACTGACATTTGCTCAAGGAAAAAAATAAAATTGAAATTCACCAAATTTTGAATGCCAGGAAAATGACATATTAGTTTAGAAGTTAAGAAAACAGTGATTTAAAGCTAATAGTAAGCACGAATAGTTAGCACGAATAATATAGTTAACCTTAATATCTTTATGAACAACTTCAAAAGCTTCTCCTACAATGAAAATGATAATCTAAGAAATTTTTTAATAAATTTTATCAAAATTTGCATTAGAATTTTATAATAATTTACATCGGAAATTTTTTTTTAATATTATTTAAATTTAAAATATTTCAAACCATTTTATTTGACAACTTTATTACATTTCTTAATTTATACACCCAAGCAGCGTTTAAAGACTGACAGAATTAAATTGTACAGTTACGTTCTTAGTTTATCCATTATATTTTTAACTATCTGAGTTTTGAAAAAAAAAAAGCCTAACGCCTTTGTGTTATATAAACCTTGATTTGTTTAAATTAATTCTTTTATCCACGGTAGAAAGAATCAAAAATATTTTTGTTGCTGATATGTACAGAATAAAATTGTGTATAATAACCAATCATTAAATAAATAAATAACTTTACTTACATACGAGCATATTACAATTTTTCATAAACTGGGTATTAGGTTAATATTTGCTTTCCCTCTTTGCATTATAGTGTTTAAAAAATTGTCTTATAACTGTGTTAATGTCCTGGAATTTATAAGCCAGGAAAATGACAGCCAGGATAATGACAATTTTGCCCTTTTACAGCATTTAACATTACTTTAATTTAACATTTTGGCCTAAGTCGTTTACTTTCCGCGGAAAACACCACGATTTCTTAAAATAACTAAGGTAAATGTAAATAGTTTATGTTATAAATGATTTCAAGAGGACAGGAAAAGGACAACACAAAAACCTACTCATCTTGCAAAAATTTTTGAAATGCATTTTGGCTCAGAAAGTTGGCTCTTTTTTCCTGCAATTAGACATGTTCTGATGGTATTCTAATCAATCTATTAACCTAAGATATTGATTCCTGGAGCTATGGTTATAAATTACTAAAAAAAAAGTTGCCAGGAAAACGACAGATTTTCATGTGACTAACAAATTATCGACAAAAAAAATTTTTTTCAACAAAATTTTTGGAAATAATACCCTCTGCATATATGCTAGAAATACTTACGAAGATTGAGTCCAAAAAATTTGAAATTAAAAAATTTATGGGAAGTTTTGAAGCTAGTTATTATTGGAACTATTGTTTGTGACATAACAGGAAAATTCAATTAAATTTTTTAACTATACAAAACAGTCAATGCTAGTGCAAAGCCATTTTAAAATGCTAACAGCAATGCTATTTATTAAATTTCTTTCTTAAAAGTTCTTTTAGTAGTATAGTATTAGATCTTGGAGCAAAGAGACTGTGAATTGTCATATTTCGTGAGAATCACCCGTATATCTCTCATTTAAAATATTTTTTATCATAGATTTAAATTCCATGATTCTTGAATTAAACCAATAAGAGCGCAATATTGCAAATCTGACGAATTCCAAAATTTATCAAACATTATAATAAAATATATTATCACATTAATTTATTATTTGAAAAGTAACATTAAACCGTGGTGTATCGCAGAAGGTGTTACGCGGCTATATATATATAT